AGCGTTAGAGTTTGAGACCTTATAGCTGGAGGTGCTGGCCCTCGAGGTGCTGGTTCAAGGGGTACTGAGTCTGTTGGTGCTGAGCCTAGTGGTGCTTAGTCTGCTGGAGGTTCTCCTGGTGCCGCGTCGCAGCGGTCACCTCTCTCGTCGCAGCAGTTGCGCGAGTGGCTTGCTTCGTGCACCCGCTGTGGGAGTCGCGCTGGGGCCTGGAGCTGGAGGTGCCGGTTCTGGGGGTGCTGCTGCTGGAGGTACTGGAGCTGGAGACCCTGGAGCTGGAGGTGCCGGTTTTGGGGGTGCTGCTGCTGGAGGTACTGGGGCTGGAGACCCTGGAGCTGGAGGTGCCGGTTGTAAGGGTGCTGCTGGTGGGGGCACAGGGGCTGGAGACCCTAGAGCTGGAGGTGCTTGCTCTCGGGGTGCTGCTGCGGGAGGCGCTGGAGCTGGAGGCCCTGGAGCTGGTGCTGTCGACCCTGGAGTTGGGGACCCTGGGGCTGGAGGTCCCAATTCTTGGGGTGCTGCTGCTGGTGGAGCTGGAGCTGGAGGTTCTGGAGCTGCTGGAGGTGCTGGAGGTGCTGGAGCTGCTGGAGGCGCTGGAGCTACTGGTGCTGGTGGCACTGCACAGCCGCGACTGTTTTTCGCTCCGCCGTCACCGTCGTCTCTGCCACCGCCTTACTCCCATCTTCGCCAGGTTCTTAGCCTCCCATCTTCTACTGGCCTCCCGTTACAGCCAGGCTCACCACTGCTTGCTCCTTCTCCTTACACTGAGCAGACTGACTCGCTTTCAGAGTGTCGTAAGCCTGCGTCTCGACTGCCTCACATGTTCGCGTGCGTCGCACTGGTCGTCGTGTTCCTCGTGAGCGTCCGCCTCCTATCCCTGGCACGCACGCTATGGCACTTCGTCCTTCCTCTGTTCCACAGCGTGTTCCCCTGCCGTCTGCCTGACGTTACGGACCCTGAGTCTGACCTCGTTCGTGCTGCTCACCCTACTATCACGCGTCTGCTCGCCACTGTTGTCACTGATCCGTCGTCATATGAATCTGCTGCTGCGTCTACCTTAGTCGCTGAGCTTGTTGACTTTGCTGTTGCATGTCGTCCAGACTACGCTGCTAGTTTCGTTGTTGAGTCTGAGTCTGTCTGTCCTCCATCCGTCGGGGGTGAGTGTGCTCTTGGCACGGACGTCCTTGAGGACAGGCAGGAGGACTTTGAGTGTCTTGCAGCCGCTGCGCCTCATCTCGTGGCCATGCTGCTTGCGCCCCAGGGAGACCCGGATGCACCAGACATCCCGACCCCGCACTCTTACGCTGAGGCGATTACGGGTCCCTACTCCTCTTAGTGGCAGGCAGCCATGGACGTAGAGATGGCATCCTGGAAGTCCACAGGCACTTACGTCGATGAGGTTCCCCCTCCTGGGGCAAACATCGTCGATGGCATGTGGATTTTCAGGGTGAAGCGGCCGCCAGGTTCTCCGCCTGTCTTCAAGGCTCGTTACGTCGCACGAGGCTTCAGTCAGCGACAAGGAGTTGACTTCTTCCAGACCTTCTCCCCCACCCCGAAGATGACCACTCTTCAGGTGCTGCTGCACGTTGCCGCTCAGCGTGACTACGAGCTTCACTCTCTGGACTTCAGCACAGCGTTCTTACAGGGCAGTCTGCACGAGGAGATCTAGCTGCGCCGCCCTCCTGGCTTCACTGGGTCGTTCCCTCCTGGTACCCAGTGGAGCCTCCGCCGGCCAGTCTACGGTCTCCGTCAGGCGCCTCGTGAGTGGCACGACACACTGAGGACGACACTTGCGGCTCTTGGGTTTGCCCCTTCCACAGCTGACCCGTCGTTGTTTCTGCGCACCGACACTTCGTTGCCGCCGTTCTTCATCCTCGTGTACGTCGACGACTTGGTCTTTGCCATTGCTGACACTGAGGCTCTCGCCCTGGTGAAGTCGGAGCTACAGAAGAGACACACGTGCACAGATCTGGGTGAGCTGCGCATTTACCTTCACTTGCAGATCACCCGGGACAGAGCACGCCGCACCATCACACTGACTCAGTCACACATGGTGCAGCAGGTTCTTCAGCGCTTCGGCTTCACCTGGTCCTCGCCACAGTCCACTCCTCTGGCTACAAGTCACTCGCTCTCAGCTCCACCTTTGGACGAGTCCGTAGAGCCGAGTGGTCCTTACCTAGAGCTAGTGGGCTGCCTCATGTACCTGATGACCTGCACTTGACCTGACCTTGCGTACCCTCTTGGCCTTCTGGCTCGCTACGTGGCTCCTGGTAGGCACCGAAAGGTGCACATGCATCCTGCTAAGAGGGTACTGCGCTACTTGTGCAGTACATCGGGCATGGGGCTCGTGCTTGGAGGACGGGGTGACGTTGTCCTCACTGGGCACTCGGACGCTTCTTATGTTGACGACCTGGCTACGCAGCGGTCGTCACAGGGTTACACCTTCAGCCTTGGCTCTGGCTCTGTTTCTTGGCGGTCTACCCGCTCGTCTTCTGTTCTCAGCTCCAGTTGTGAGGCTGAAATCTACGCCACAGCCATGGCTGCACAGGAGTTACGCTGGCTCACCTACCTGCTGACCGACTTGGGAGAGCGGCCTCGTTCCTCCAGTTCCGTACGTAGACAACAAGGCCACCGTTGCCTTATGTCAGGAGCACAGACTGGAGCACAGAACGAAGCACATCGCTCTGCGTTACTTCCTGGCTCGAGAGTTGCAGCAGCGTGGTCAGCTTTGTCTTGCTTACGTGGCCACCCGGGCCAACACTGCTGATACATTCACCAAGGCACTTCCGTCTTGTAATCATCATCGCCTGTGTACTATGTTGGGCCCTGTGCCTGTTTCGTTTCACTTGCTCACTTCGTAACTTTGCTTGTACTGTGATCTATATATATTCCTGCATGCTTACTCTTGTTAGTTAGTGATCAATGTACTGTTGTTCTTACATATATACCTCTGCATGTGAACTGGCCTTGTGGCCCTTTGCTTGTGCTCGGAGTGTGTGGTGACGTTGTGATCCACCCTGAGCTTGCTTTGCTTTTCTTGACTGGTCTTGTGACCCCTTGTTCTCCCCCACTTTGCCTATGGGGGTGTGTCAAACTATATACGTGCTGGTTCGATGTAGGCTGTAGTGGGGTAGCCCATATGGGGTACAACCCAATGTTAGGGTTTCTATTTGTACCCAACTTCCTCATAGTGCATTCATTCCTTCTTGCTATTCTAACAAATACTCGGGTGTGTTCTTCCTCCTGGTATGTTGTATAATGTAATCTACCACATTTAGTTCCTTTAGAAGGTTTGTTTGCTCTGAACATGTTTCAATGGTATTTCTGTGCTGCCTTGGATGTCTTATCGTATCGCCCCAGATATAACTGCAGGCCTATTAAATGCGCATGCGCTTATACTTGGAGCAATGCGCTTATGCCCGATCCTCAATTATTTGCGCACCCCCTGTGAAAACTTCACTTATTATAAGCGCATGCATAATTTTATTTTCAATTCCTCATTATGTACCGTAATGAACTTCCACTTTGCAGCGTGTCTACGTCCTTTGCTGTATTACGCTCGACATTTCAGCCAACATACTCTCCCGTTCGGTGGAAAAGCAAAACGACACGAACCTTACTGACAACACGCTCGTGGGGGGAGAGAAGGGGCAAACAATCCCCCTTGCGCGAAACCGCACGAAGCTGAATGACAACACGCACGTGTGGGGGGGGAGGGGGGGGGGAGGGGGGACCAATCTCCCTCGTGCGATTCTGATCTAAGACGCATTAGCATTTTGCTATTGCCTGGGGTGAGAGATCGCCAAAGGGGAGGAATGGAAAGGAGGAAATCAAGGCGCGTTCGAATATTTCCAGCTGGAAAGTTTGGATGAGGGAGGTACAATTGGTGAAGCAGTATGGTACTGAACAAAAATTAGCATGCATTACCTGGGAAGGCACATCTGTGCATCACCTAGGGGAGGCACATCTGTGCATTACCTGGGGAAGGCACATCTGCGCATCACCTGGGGAAGGCGCATCTGTGCATCACCTGGGGAAGGCACATCTGTGCGTCATCTAGAGAGGGCCCATCTGTGCCGGCATGTCTAGCCTGTGCGAGTTCTGCCCCCCTCTCCATCCAACTATGCTGCGCCGCTATCACCTCCGCCTCGTTCGCACACGCCGCATACGCCTCCAGCAGCTCACTGTGGGCAAGAGCAGGGGGAAGGGGCAGGCATGCACAGGGGAGGGATTAAGGAAGAATACTGATGTGGCTGCCGCATGCCTCTCCGTGCGCGCATGCGCCATATGCCTGCAGCAATGAGAAGAGGAAGGGAGGGACAGGTAGGCACAGGGAGGGACGGAGGAGTACTGATGTGGTTATCACATGCCTCCAACACCTCGCTGTGGTGGTGGGGGAAGAGGGGGTAAGGAGGGGAGCGTTGGGGATTTCATGCAAGAGATAGAGGGGAGTGAGAGGAGAAGAGTGAAGACAAGGAGGGATAACATAATAGGGGAGAAAGGGAGAGTGGAGGGGGGAGGGCAAGGGAAAGAGAGCAGAGGAGGGGGAGAATGGGAGGAAATAACGAGTGAAACGAAAAGCTGAAGGGAGGGGCAAGGGGGAAGGCGTGGAAGGTACAAGGAGAAATGCGTGTAGAGAGAAAGGAGGAAAGAAACAACTTGCATTGAAAGAGAACCGGGGAGACGAATTGCCTGTTGAGGGAGAGGAAGGCGTTGCCCCACATGAAGCAGCTTAGCAGCTCCCATTTGCTTGTCCCCACTGGTTGATAATGGGGGGTGCATGGAGAGGTGGGAGGTGCAAGGGGGACATGCATTTTTAAAAGACGCACAATGAATGTGATAGGGATGCAATATCTAGACATGAACTCATTGAACATGCGTACACCAGCTTATGAACAAACAACAAGCACCAACCCGCAGGCTCAGGCATGGAGAATCCACCATCACCATGTGTACACCTGAGCCTGCAGGTGCATCACAATAAAACCACGACGAGCACCCAACACCTAAACAGCACCCAACACCTGAACAACACCCAACACCCGAACAGCACCCAACACTCGAACAGCACCCAACACCGGAACGGCACCCAACACCTGAACGGCACCCAACACCTGAACGACACCCAACACCCGAACGGCACCCAACACCTGAACGGCACCCAACACCTGAACGGCACCCAACACCTGAACGGCACCCAACACCTGTACCCAACACCTGAACAACACCCAACATCTGAATAGCACCCAAAGCCTGAAACATCTAAACAGCACCCAACACCTGAACAACACCCAACACCTGAACAGCACCCCTAGGTTGGCATAAACGCGTTTGGCGTAAATACGTGTTTCGTATATACGCTAGCATTTGCACGCTATACGCTGGAGGGTCCTGATCGAGCATACGCTTTTCTGGGCAGGAAAAAAAATTCCGGGCAGGGTAAAAAACTCTCCTGGGGTTGGGTCTAGAGGGGTTTCATGCGGGGTGTGTTTCTGTTGTTCTTTTATTTTTCCTTCCCCATAATAAAATTAGCAATGTCATACAGACCCAGGGACGTCACATACTAGTCTCTCCCTACTACCCACCCTCCTCCCCCTCCCCCCCCCCCCCCCCCCCTTCTTTAACCAGTACTCATACTCGTCCCCCAAGATGGCGTTCTCATCCTCATCCTCCTCCTCCTCCTCCTGCTCAACCCGCACACTGTAACTTTCGAGGATGGGGGGCTCCGGCTCATTCCCACACGCAACTGACGACGTCACATCCTTGCACGTGTGCCAGTTGCGCACAACATTCCAGTTGTGCGCAACAAACACCAAATCCGCACACTTGGCAGATCCTAAGCGGTTCCTGCGGGCAGTGTGGACGGATTCCCACGATGCCCAGCCACGCTCACAGGGTGAAGCCGAGACGGGTTGTGAGAGAACCCGGATGGCGAGGGGCGCAAGGTGGGGGATCTGTCCCGTTCCACTGCCACCACTTCACCATGCTGTAAGTGCCCGCCTTCACCTTCTCCCTTTGTGGCACAACCTCTGCCATCCCAAAACTCCCCTTCATGTCCAAGAAATCCCTTAGCCCGTCCCCCAACTCAACCAAGTAATCGCAGGCCCCATCCCTCCCCTTCCCATCGTAACCAACGAGGAACTCCGCATGCTGGTGAAGGAATGCTTTGAAGACGCGCGTGCATTCGGTGTCGTCGCCGAATATGTCTTCTTCCTGGTTCGAGGGGTTGAGGATGCGGCCCTCCACATGCATGGCGCACGCGAGGCTCCCGCCCCACCGGTTTTTTATGATGCGGCGGATCTGGTGCTCCTTGACAACTGCTCCTCATCCGCATCCACAAGAGCCCCAACGTCCTCCGTGAGTTGGAGCATCACGTCGTCGATCCTGCCCATCATCCCTTCTGCCTCCCCGTCCGTCATGTGCATAGCCTTGGAAGTAAGCTGCAGCAGCTTGATGAAAAACTCGGTAGTTTTCCACCAAGCCGAGTCGAGTACCAACGCGGCGAACTTCTGTGCAGCCGCCTTGTGCTAGCCAGCAGCCCACTCCTTCCATTCGACGTAGAGGACCATCTGCGTAAGGGTGGGGCGGAGCTGACAGAGACGGGAGATAGCGATGTAATGGGTCCCAAAGCGGGTCCCTGTGGGTTTCAAAGGCTGCAACATCTTCCCCTCCACCAACTGCGGGTTCCGCAAGTAACCGCGCGTTATATGGTGATTGCGGGTGAAGGTACTTATCTCCGCACCACGGTCAACCACCTTTTTCGCCCACCCCATTTTACCCACGTCCTCCATCATCAGGTCCATGACGTGGGTGGCACAAGGAACCTGCTGAATGTGGGGCGAAATCTCATTCAGCTTCAGGCACGCCGACGCGTAGTTGGAACCCCCATCTATACAGAACGCGACGATGTTTCTCCACTTCCTCCACGACGGGTTTCAGTAACCCCGCGACATACCCCCCTGTCTTCTTCTCCATGTTGCAGTCCGCAAACTCCTTCAGGACGGAGCTCGCATCGTTGACGAGGAGGACATTCGCATGCGGCCTGCCACACTTATCTGTCATCATCTCGGACGCGATGGTAACACTCGTCTTCTTCCGGCTAGCCTTGATCCTCATCAGTCCGTTCTTAATACCCTTGCAGAAAGCGAGTAGTCTGGCCTCGCCAATGTACTTGCGACGTGGGGGGACGTAACCGGCGCGGGCAACCAGGTGCGAAGAGCGGATGGTTGATGAGGTTCTCCGGGAGGCGACATGCGGCAAACATGAGCGCAAGGTCTTCATGTGCTTCACGTTTTGCCGCAGCAGCGTCGCCCTCAAGGTAGTCGATCATGCGGGCCCGTTTGCCACCAGCTTTGACAGACGATATAGCAGCCAACACCGCCATCTGCTTCTCTTCTGACGCATCAGCCTGCACCTAGTATTTCTTGCGCATCGCGAGGCGAACATCAGCATGTGCCTTTTTGCAAAGCGCCACCTCGCGACGCTTCATCTTCTTCCATGAGCTTAGGTGTTGAGCGCATCGGATGGCGGCACCAGAAAAGACACTGAAGCAGTACTTGCCCTCTTTGCGCTTGATGATACTGAAGTGCTTAAAGACGTTATGGGCTACATCAGGAAGGTACTCTCTTGTCCCTTCTGGACGAACCATAGAACTCCCCACTGTCTGAACGAAAGGCGGCGTGAGAGGCTGGTTGTTGGTAGCGAGAGAGGGAAACTGAATGAGATGGGCGTTTTGAGGAGTTGATAAATAGCATGACGGGTGGCGGGAGATTGAGTAGGAATGGTTGGACTGAATGAATGTTGTGGGTTTGAATGCGGTAACGTGCTGAGATAGAAATGTCCAAACGTGCAAACGCGACTCGTTGTACGTGACCATGAATGTGTGAACGTGGAACAAGCGAAAGTGAAATCGCTTCACCAGGACATGAATCCAATTTCCCGCAACCCTAGACCTCGGACGTGCAATCTGACCTCGGACGTGCAATCAGTACCCAACACCTGAACAGCACCCAACACCTGAACAGCACCCGACACCTGAACAGCACCCAACACCTGAACAGCACCCAACATCTGAACTGCACCCAACACCTAAACAGTACCCAACACCCTGAAAAGCACCTAACATCTGAACAGCACCCAACACCTGAACAACATCGAACACCTGAATAGCACCCAACACCTGAACAGCACCCAACATCTGCCACCCATTATGTGTGCATTGGCCCACCATCTGCCATGTGAGCATCCCTCCAAACCCACCGTATGCTGTGCTGTGCGGTGTGGTACGGTGCACCTATTAGATGTAGAACGCAGCAGCCATGGCCTCAACGCTGCAGACATCTTAACCAAGGCGCTTCCACCTCGTGACCACTAGAGGTGTTGTGTGCAGCTAGGTCACGTTGACACATGTTCTCGCCTTGCGTAGTCTGGAGTTCTCTGCTTGCTTTGTTTGTACGCTTTATATATACATCTATGAACTCTTGGACTGGCCTTGTGGCCCTTTTGCTTGTGCTCAGAGTGTGAAGTGACATTGTGATCCACCGTGAGCTTTGTTGCTTTGTGACTAGTCTTGTGACCGTACGTTGTTGGTTTTGCTTGCCCCCCATCACGTAGGCTATGGGGGTGTGTGAGATGTTATGGTCTTAAAGATGTGTGTCATATGGGGTACAACAGTTAGGGTTAGGTTTATGTACCCCAACCAACCTTTGTCAAACCTCCATTTTGTTCTTGACGTCCCAGTCATTTACATTCACTCTGACTTGTGTTCACTACTCCCAGTGCAACACCGCCTGCGAACAACCCTGGGCCGATCCTTGGCTAAGGGTACATTCCGCTGTGGACACATGTCCCAATCGATGTGTCCCAATCGATTCTACCGCACTGCATCTTATTACACCGAATTACACCCTAGTTTCAAAATTTTCGCGTCTCTGGTTCAGTTCTGTTCGGAGCGGTACACCCGATTGGGACATGTTCGATTGGGACATGTCTAGAGCGGAATGTACCCTAAGTCCTGTTTAGGATTGTAACATAAGCGCAACTGCGCTATTGTCCGGTGCCATACCGCACGACTATCAGCGCATGGGTGTAACATAGGCTTGGGTATGACGGTAACACCGATTCATGAATTCATTTCCTACTTCCGCTACACCATAATGCATCAAGTATAGTCTCTACAAAGAACCTACATTCAGCAAAAAAATATGTTGTATTAACAGTAACAACACTTAAACGGTAGACATTTTTGGTATATTCTAAATGCCAATAGACTTCCCAAATGTATCCAGATATGGATGATGAATATATGTACATAAATATAGATTTGCAAGCCCTAAAACTTCCCCTCTGCCAACCCCGTAACGCGTTCAGGGTGGCTCGTGCGTGTTTGTTGCGAGTTTGTTGTGAACGGCTCATTCTGGTACGTAATGGTCAAAAGCGGTAAGAGCCGATAACCGTTCCCAAATTACATTGACCGTATTGAACCGAACCCGCGACAGAAGCATGACCTTCCTCAACATGTGACGGTACGCGTTTGTCCAAATAAATCACCCCCGCGACTCCCGCAACCCAGGTGTACTAGATCGCGCTGCTCGTAGGCGAAAGCTACTCTGCCTTCGCCCCGCCGCTGAGTTTGAATCCCTCGCCATCCATTGAGATTGGCTAGCTGCGCGCTGAGCGCCTAGTACCTACAACGCCTTCCTCCCGTCATCGCGCCGCCCCCTCGTCTATCCATTCGCGTTCCTCCCCTCTTGCGCCCATCATGACGACACTCGCCACACCCCTCATCGACTCCTCCTCGCTGCCCCAACGCCATTGCCTAGTCCTAAGATCCACCGCGTGCACGTTTCTGAGCCTCCGCGCAGCGCCGATCCCCCTGAGATTCCCCCGTCCCCCCCACTCCCCTCTCCCTTTCCTCCTTCCGCGGACTCCGCGAATCAAATGCTACGAATAATAAATCAGAATGTTCGATTGACCGCTCGCTATCAACACATACATTAACGCCCGCTCCCGAGGGCTCAACCACATTCTCATACCGCTCCACGCTCACTGCGTGCCTTCTTCTCCTTCTCAGTCGCACCTTCTCAGTCGCCGCACCTTCAAGGTTTCACTCATTCTCACCTCGTCGCCTGTACCAGCGGCGTGAGTCCCATCTTGGCGGTTCAGCTCTCATCTGTCATCACCATCCGCGCCTCCCCGCCTTCCAGTTTCCCCGCGCCGTCGCCCCATTTTCGCACCGCGCTGTGATTGCTACGCCGTCCCCCGCCGCCATGAAGCCCTGCGCGCGCCTGTCCGGCCTGTGTGGCCTCGCCGCACTCGTCGCGGGTGTCGTTGCCATCAGCTTCCTCGCGACCCTCGCCAGCGCCGCTGCTGGTGAGCAGGCTGACTGAGACACACAACTGGCAGTATTGTAGTGCTGGAGTGCGGTTGAGTGCACAACCATATCAAAATTCATCTTGTTTAACTCTCTTTCCCTACCTTGCTTCTGTGCTGGTGTGTGTGCCTCTTTGCCCATACTTGCAACAACCACGACTTCCGGTGCAGACCCGTGTGCCAGCATGGATTGTGGGGAAGCTACCTGCTATTTTGATGAAGAAGTTGGGGCCTTTTGCGATTGCAAGAATGGTTTTGAATTCGTCAAAGACCAGAAGACATGTGTGGGTGAGTGCACAAACACAAGCAGAATCTTGTTCTAACTGCCTTTCCCCACCTTGCTTCTGTGCTGTTGCGTGCGCCGCTTTGTCCTGACTTGACTCAATCGCGACGTCTTGTCTGTGCAGATCCCTGTCCCAAGATGGATTGTGGGGAAGCTACCTGCAAGATTGATGTGGACTTTGGAGCCAATTGTGTGTGCAAGGATGGCCTGGTATTCGACGACAACCACAAGACGTGTGTGGGTGGGTGCTGGTGTGTGGGTGGGTGAGCGCGTGTGGGCGCGTAAGCGCGTGTGGGTGAGTGGGTGAGTGTGGGTGAGTTCACACTTCACAATCATCAGCAACATTTCCACTCGTTTAACCCGCTCTCACTTCTTCACTTCGAAACCTCCCATCCCTTCCTCTGCAGACCCGTGTGCTGGCGGGGTGTGTGGGGTAGAGGCTTCTTGCCATGCTCTCGCTCCTACCGAATTCCTTTGCCTTTGCCACAAGCGAGGCTACAGCTTCAACGACGCTGACAAGACGTGCTTTGGTGAGTGCTGCACCGGTGAGGGGTAGACACTTCGTTTCTCGAGGCACTCGCAAGTAGCATCTCAGCGTTTCAGCTTTCCAACAGGCAGCACTGAGAGGCACCGCTGATAGGCAACGCTTGGAACGTTAGCATCTCAGCGTTCACCGCTCCTCACTCCTCCCGCACCGTCCCCCTCTCTGCCCCCTTCCTCTCCTCTCTTCTGACCCTCCTCCAACTCGACGCCTTCAATCCCCCACCACCATCGTCACACAACCTTCAACGGTCCCAACGGTCCCAACGGTGTCAGCCCCGCTGGTGCGGACGACGGTGGCATTGCAGGCAAAAGGCTTCGGCGTGGCGAACGCCGTCTTCTTGTCGCCGCTGAGAGGCAACACTTGGAACGTCCAACCCTCCTCACTCCTCCCGCACCTCCCTCCCCCCCTCCTCCCCTTCAGCCCCGCTGGCGCGGACGACGGTGCAGGCAAGAGGCTACGGCGTGGGGAGCGCCGTCTTCTTGTCGCCGCTGCCGGCCGAGCAGGCCAGTGCCAGCGGCACCATTGTGTGCGGTAACCTGGAGGTCATGCTGCAAGGCAGCGCCACCATCACCGCCGTGTGGAATGCCTCCAACTTCGCCTCGCCTATGGACGACGCGCCCAGCAACGCCATGTGCAAGAGCCTGTCGTTCTACGGCGAGTCGTACTGCACGAAGAAGCTGGGCTTCACCATTGCACGTCCTGCAAAGAAGGGCAGTTCCTACCCCGTCACAAAGAAGTGAGTGCGCGTGATGCACACGACTGGTTTGGTTTATTCCGGTGTGCTTGCAGCACATAATAGGATGCTCTTTTATCACCAGAATTTTCATGACCGTCGTAGTTGCTGCATAAATGGAGTGAATGTCATATCTTTGGTCCTCACCTTTGGTCCTCTCCTTGCCTCTCCCTCTCTCAGGACTGTCAAAGGAATCAAGTCGCTGCTATCAGTTGGCTGCGAGATCAGTAAGTGCGAGCGGATGCACGTAGTAGTAAGTCTTCTAAGCACACAGTCTTGTTCTTTGCTCATTTTGACAATATTGATGACATTGGATAGATATTGTAAGAAACAGCAAGAGACACAACCAACCTCTTTTTGTTTTTGAGGTTCTTTTTTTCACCTCCCTATTCCTCAACTGAGAGCTATCCTCTTTCTCTTCATGCCTGGATTGCTTGTCCCTCTGTGGTGCCCACAACAGCCCTGTGTGAGAATGATTGTGGAACTGCAAAGTGCGTTGTGAAGGAGGGCCAGCCGCAGTGCCAGTGCCCCGAGGGCCTCGTGTTCAACGCCGCTAAGAAGCTCTGCCTCGACCCTTCTCTTTCTCCTCCTCGTCGTAGGTGCCTTACTGTCTGTTGCATGTTTGCCAACATGTACGTGTCAACTTCTCGTGTATGTACGTGTCAACTTGTGTATGTGTGTGCCAACTTCTCGTGTATCTACCTGTGTGACGCCTGCCACACAAAGAGGAGCAGGCTCTGCACTGCCGGGCTCTGCACTGCCGGGCTCTGCACTGCCAGGCTCTGCCATCTTTCTGTCTCACTCTCCATTTGCTCCATCTCACGTCTTACTCTGTTTCCTGCCCTCCATTTGCCCCCTCCCGTTGCCGTCCCCTGTGCCCCCTCCCCTCCATTTCCACCATGAAGGGGCGGGTGGCGGAAAAGCTAAGAATGGGCGACCCTAGTTGGATAGGCAGGGGGCAAGGAAGGCGGTTGGAGTGGGGCTGATGGAGCAACGGTTCAAGAAACTGGATGCAGTTGCTTGGAGGCTAGGAAACTGTTTGCGTGGCAGGTTGGCTGGTTCACTTAAGTGTATGGTTATAGAAATGGGATTACCAGTGTGTGTTCTTCCTCCTGGTTGTACATTGTAATCTACCACTTTTAGTTCCTTAGAAGGATGGTTGCTCTGAAAAGGTTTCACTGGGATTTATGTGCTGCCTTCAATGCCTTACAGCAATCCACACCTTTTCTACTCTAAGCACAACCATTCACTGCATAGACTACACTGGCAGTACCAAGGCTTTAGTTCCTAAGAGTGGTCAGATAACAATCAACACATACCTAAGATCACATCACAACTGAAGCCCTAGTACCCGTGTGTGGCATATTCAAGTTGTGTAACATCATCGGAAATCCACTGCAATCCTGCAACCCTGCAATCCTGCAGAACTCTGTACAGTGACTCACTCAAAAGCATCCCTGCACTGCACTTATCTTCGCCTGCCTCCTGTGCCCCTCCCCCTCCCCCACTGCCCCCGTCTGGTGCTCTCCCCCCAACCCTCACCCTTCCCTTCAACCTTCCCACCCTTCCCCTCCTTCCTCCCATCGCTATCCTCGTCATCCTCATCCTCTTCCTCATCCTCCTCACCCTCCTCCTCACCCCCCTCCTCATCTTCCTCCTCATCCTCCTCATCATCATCCTCATCCTCCTCATCATCATCCTCATCCTCTTCTTCCCCTCCTCTCCCCCCTCTCCCCCACCCAGCACCATGATTCGGGTTGCGGAACAGAGGTGCTGCGTCATCATCAGAATCAGAACCTTCTGAGTCGCTTCCGCTGTTGCCTGGGGTGAGAGATTGCCAGGGGAGGGAGAAAGGAGAGAAGGGAATGAAGCGACAGGTGAAGGCGCGTTCGGATGTTTCCAGCTGTGAATTTTAAAACAAGGGGGGTACAACTGGTGAAGCTGTATGGTACGGGACAAAAATAGCAGGCGTCACCTGGGGAAGACTCATCTGTGCATGACCTGGGGAAGGCACATCTGTGCATGACCTGGGGAAGGCACATCTGTGCATGACCTGGGGAAGGCACATCTGTGCATGACCTGGGGAAGGCTCATCTGTGCCGGCATGTCTGGCCTGTGCGAGCTCCGCCTCCCTCTCCATCCACCTGTGCTGCGCCGCTATCACCTCCGCCCCGTCCGCACACGCCGCGTATGCCTCCAGCAGCTCACTGCATAGGAACAGGGGACGGCAGCAGTAGGGAAGGGAACGGGGTGGTGGAAAGGAAGGAGGAATGCTGACATGGTTTTCACCTCCGCCCCGTCCGCACACGCCGCGTATGCCTCCAGCAGCTCACTAAGGGCAAGAGTATGGGGGAAGGGGCAGGCAGGCATAGCGGAGGGGCGGAGGAAGAATACTGATGCGGCTGTCGCCTCCCTCTCCATCCATCTGTGCTGTGCCGCTATCACCTCCGCCCCGTCCGCACACGCCGCGTATGCCTCCAGCAGCTCACTAAGGGCAAGAGCAGGGGAGCGAAGGTGCAGGCACGCACAGGGGAGGGACAGAGGAAGAATACTGATGTGGCTATCACCTCCGCCCCGTCCGCACACGCCGCATATGCCTCCAGCAGCTCACTGCATTTGCGAGCAAAGGGACGAGCAAAGGGAGGGAGGAGCAGCGAGAGGGAAGGGAACGGGATGGTGGAGAGGAGGGAGGAGAGGAATGGTGAGGCTGACGCCTTTGCCTCGCTTGCCCATTTCGCCTATGCCGCCAGCAGCTCGCTGCAGGAAAAGGTGGTGAAGCGGTGGGAAGGAGGGGCATGAAGCACAGGGTAGTGGTGGGTGGAGCAGAGGGAGGAATACTCATGTGGCATACTCGTTTCGAGGAACACTGCCGCACCTGCCCCGTCCGAACCAGCCGCATATGCCTTCAGCAGCTTGCTGCACAGGTGGTGAGAGAGAGAGGGGTTAAGGGAGGACGGATTGGGGAATTCATGCACGAGATGGCGGGGAGTGAACGGGGACGAGTGAAGACGAGGGATATTTGAGAAGAAAGGGAGAGTGGAGGGGGGAGAGTGGCAGGGGAAAGAGAGCAGAGGAGGGAAGGTATGGGGAGGAGAGAATGAGAGAAACAAAAACCTGAAGGGAGGGGCAAGGGGGGAAGCGTGGAAGGTAGAGGGAGCAAAGGGAGAGGGGAAGGGTGGGCAGTGAAGGAGAGAGAGAAATGTGCGTAGAGAGAAAGGAGGAGACGACTTGCCTGTTGAGGGAGAGGAACAACTTGCATTCAAAAAGAAGAACGAAAAAACTTGCCTGTTGAGGGAGAGGAAGGCGTGGCCCCACTTGAAGCGACTGAGCAGCTCCGATGCTGTTTCCTTGTCGCCACTGGTTGACGATGGTGGAGGTGCATGGAGAGGGGGGAGATGCATAGGGAGGAGTAAGATGAATGGAGAAGTGGGAGATGCAGGAGGGACCTGCATTTAGAAACGACACACAACGAATGTAATGGGATGCGAGACATGTACATAAAACATTGAACATGTGTACTCCAGCTTATTAACGAACCACCAACACGAAAACGCAGGATAAGGTGTGGAGAGCCCACCATCACCATGTGTACAATCCATCCCATTACAACCATGCAAAGCACCCACCATCTGCAAAGCACCCACTATGCGCAAAGCACCCACTATGTGTGCATTGCCCCACCATCTGCCATGTGAGCATCCCCCTACACCCACTGTGTGAGTGAGGTGCTGTGCGGTGTGGAACAGTGCACCCACCAGATGTAGAGCGCAGCAGCCATGGCCTCAACACACGACAGCTGGCAGGGCTTGCCGTAGTTCACTGGATTGGCCGCCACCAGCCATGGCACTGTAGAGTGGGGCATGGGGATGTGCGAGATGAGAAAACGGAGAATGCGAGCAGGCCGGATGACAGCTGACAGGGCTTCAACACATGACAGGGCTTGCCGTAGTTGACTGGATTGGCTGCCACCAGCCACGGCACTGCGGAGGGGGGCATGGGGATGTGAGAGTGAGAAAACGGAGAGTGCGAGCAGGCCGGATGACAGCTGGCAGGGCTTGCCGTAGTTCACTGGATTGGCTGCCACCAGCCACGGCACTGCGGAGGGGGGCATGGGGATGTGCGAGCGTGAGAAAACGGAGAGTGCGAGCAGGCCGGATGACAGCTGGCAGGGCTTGCCGTAGTTCACTGGATTGGCTGCCACCAGCCACGGCACTGCGGAGGGGGGCATGGGGATGTGTGAGAGTGAGAAAACGGAGAGTGCGAGCAGGCCGGATGACAGCTGACAGGGCTTCAACGCATGACAGCTGACAGGGCTTGCCGTAGTTGACTGGATTGGCCGCCACCAGCCATGGCACTGCGGAGTGGAGGCATGAGGATGTGCGAGCGAGCATGGAGAGTGGGAAACCGGAGAGTGCGAGCAGGCCGGATGAACGAAAGAGGGGTGGAGCAAGGCTGTTGAAAGCAAGGGAGGTGAGAACAGCATCCAGCCAAGCCAAGCAGCGACGCGGGATGAAGAGGCAAGCCAGATGGTGCGTAAAAGGGAAGAGCACTGAGCGTGGGTGGTGTGGAGCATCGTGCAGGGATGGCAGGCAGGCAGGCAGGCAGGCAGTGTTAGAATTATATATATTGTAGCATGCTAAGCACATGTGACTGTACACCAATTGTGGTGTACAGTTGGGTTGGGACTACACCCAACATTGGGTGTAGCCTTGCACTTTGGGGTGCCAATCCACCCAATTGTGGTGGAGCCCCCAAATTGCAACCCTCTTGACTTTTTGGGTACCTCACTTCACAATTGAGGCCACCACAAGCCAAGTGGGTGTGGGCCTAGGGTTGCCACACTTCTTAGAAGTGTGGGCAACCCAACCCACCCCACCTATGGTTACCTCACTTCCCAAAGTGAGGCCAACCCAACCATAGGTTGGGTTCCTCCTTCCCTTCCAAGCTTCTCTTCCCAAACTATGTATGCTAGGTTTGCTCTCTAATCAAATCACTTGTTCAATTCACATCTTTCACATGGTATAGAGCTAGTTGTTCCTCAAACCTTAACTCTCCCTCCCTCAAGTTATTTTTCTATGGGCCCACCCCACAGCCACAATTTCCCTCCTACGCTTAGCTCAACCTAGCATACTCTAGCAAGCGCATCGCCGCCTCCTCCCGTCGCCGCCGCGGCCGCTTCCGCCGCCGCCGCCTCCTCCCGTCGCCGCCGCGGCCGCTTCCGCCGCCGCCGCCTCCTCCCGTCGCCGCCGCGGCCGCTTCCGCCGCCGCCGCCTCCTCCCGTCGCCGCCGCGGCCGCTTCCGCCGCCGCCGCCTCCTCCCGTCGCCGCCGCGGCCGCTTCCGCCGCCGCCGCCTCCTCCCCTCGCCGCCGCGGCCGCTTCCGCCGCCGCCGCCGCCGCCTCCTCCCCTCGCCGCCGCGGCCGCTTCCGCCGCCGCCGCCTCCTCCCCTCGTCGTCGCCTCTCTCACACCGTCGCCGCCTGCGCCTCCCGCCGCGGCGCTCACATCCTCCCCCTTCCCCTTCTCCCCTCCCCTCCAGCAATAGCGGCAGCAGCAGCGGCGGCGGCGGCGGCGGCGGCGGCGGCGGCGGCGGCGGCGGCAGCAGCGGCAGCAGAGGCAGCAGCGACAGCAGCCTGAGCAGAGCTCCATCCTCCTGCAGCAGCACCTCCCCCCCCCCCCCCCTCCCTCTTGGCCGCCGCGGGTCCACCCGCCGTCGCCCTCCTCCTTGACCGCCGCGGGTCCACCCGCCGTCGCCCCTCATGGATACCACTCCTCCCCCTCTTCCCCCTCCCATTGACGCCTCCTCCGTCGACAAGCTCCAACTTGCCGCGGACCGCTCGGCGATCAATTGGCACTCCTTCGTCGGGAGCATCCGCCGCGTTCTCCAGGACGCATTCGTCGGACCCTACTGCGTCCTCGACGTCCTCCTCCGCCGCCCGCAAGCTCTCCAGCCCACGGCACCCAGTCACCCCGGCGAACCCCCTCCACCCCCCATTCCCCCTGGCCCTCCTCCTTCTGAACCCACCTTGGAGATCGCCACTACCCCAGCGCTCTAGAGTGCCGCCGATGCCACATTCCTCCATGACCGCCGCGAGTACCTCATCCGCAAGGCAGAGCACGAGGTCGCAGTCCACCATCACGACTTCGCAGTAGCGGAACGCGCCAACCGCCTGGCCCTCCTCGATGAATACAACACGGCCATGGCAGACTACCTCCCCAAGAGTATTGCATGGGCCGCTGCTGACAACCGCGCCTGCACCATCCTCCTCGGCGCACTCCCTGATACCCTCATGCGCCGTTTCCAGGCTCGGGAGATGCGCGCCTCCCTCATCTGGGCCGAGCTCCAGGCAATGTTCGAGCGCCGCGACATCAGCTCTGTCGGCGCCCTGTTCCAGGAGTACTTCTCCATCACCCTCGCTACCTGTGACGGCGCAGTTGACTACGTGGGGCGCATGCAGGAGGTCGCTGACCGCCTTGCTGCACGCCAAGCTGCCCTCCCCGAGCCACTGCAAATCCACCGCCTCCTCTACAACCTCACCCCGGACTACGAGTCCCGCCTCCATGCCTTCACTGAAGCGAACGCCATGGCCGGCCTCAACGACGTGGTCCAATGGATCATCGACACGGAGGTCAAGCTCCGCACCCCCGTTGTCAACCTCACCACCCCTCAGCCCTCCTCCTCCAGCTCCCTCAATGCTACGCAGCCGCGCAACCAGGGTGGTCGCAGCGGTGGCGGTGGAGGCCGTGGAGCGGGTGGTGGTGGTGGAGGTCGTGGCGGTAGTGGTGGTGGTGGCGGTAGCCGTGGTGGCCGTGGTGGCGGTGGTGGTGGTGCTGGAGGACCGTCCGGTGCTAGTGGTGCTGTGACTCGAGGCGCTCGCCCTGGCACTCTCCCCCCATGCACGTATGTGCGCCGCCATGGTCCCCATGCTGGTACCCCTTGCGGCCAAACCAACCATCCCCCCAGCACGTGCTTCAAGGCGCTCGACGACGCCTGGTTTGACCGAGGTAACACTGGCACCCCTCCTCGCTGGAACACTGTCACCCCTCGCCCCTCCCTGGTGGATGTTCAAACCCTCCCATCTTTCCTTCCTGCTCACCTCCGCCTGGTTAGCCCCTCCCAGCCTTCCCAGCTGCAGCAATTCCAGCAGCACCAGCAGCAGCAGCATCAGTACTTCCAGCAGCAGCAGCAGCAGCAGCCGCAGTTTCTCCAGCCGCAGCAGCCGCCGCCGCCGCATTTCTTCCAACCGCCGCCGCCGCCGCCGCCGCCGCAGCAGCAGCAGCAGTTCCTTCCCCCGTACTGGCAGCAGCAGCCACTGACCTTCGGCACGGCGGCTACGGCCGCCCATGCCTCCCTTGCTCCCCCCCCCTCCCTGGGTTCCCTCCCCTCTGCCCCCCCCTGTGTCCCCGACACTTCGGGCAGTTTCCTCGGTAATGTCAGTATTGCACCATCCGTCGCTTCCATGTATCCCTCTGCTATCAATGAAACTTCTTTCCAGTACCCCGTGTCACCTCCTCCTCCTTCTTCCCCCACCCTGGACTTCGTCCTTGATAGTGGGGCCACTGAAACCGCACTAAAGGACGCAGGAACTCTCACCCCCCTTCCACTTCCCACTCAGGTTCATGGAGCTGATTCCAGTTTTTCCATCCCTTGCACTCATCTCTCCACCCTCCCCTGCACTGCCTTCCCCTCCGGTAAAGTCACAGACCTCCACATCCCCACTCTCCGCAACAACCTCATCTCCCACCGTGAGCTCCAAGGTGTTGGTATCACTGCCATCTACCCTGGTTATGCCAATTACTGTGACCTCTACCAGACTTCCTCTGGCCGCTTCCTCCTCCGCATCCCACTCTGCCCTCGCACTCGCCTCTACACACTCCGCACACCTCGCCCATCCTACTGCCACGTCACCACCCGTGCTGGTACTTCCACCGGTCCACCCCCCCCTCCTTTACTTCCCCCCTCCCCTCCCCCTCAGGTATCCTCTCCCTCCCCGCCGTCCTCCTCCTCCCCTCCCGTCCCCTCCATCACCCCATCTCCCTCCTCCTCCACTACCCTCTCGCACCCTGCCGTTCTCTTACACCACAGACTCGGCCATCCCAACTTCACCGCCCTTCGCACCACAGTCACCTCCCGCCTCCTCCGCAGCCTTCTTCCCGTCTTACCCCCGCTTCCCTCCTCCCCCTCTCCCCCATGCCCTTCATGCATTCACGGCAAGCTCAAGCAGTCACCCCACCACAGTCATCCCACCTTCGCCGCTGCCCCCATCGACCTTGTCCACATGGACCTCTGGGGCCCCTATCCCATCCGCTCCCGCCAGGGGCACCGGTACATGCTCGTCCTCGTTGACGACCACAGCCGGTACTCCACCACCTTCTTTCTTCACACGAAAGACCAGGTGCCGGCAGTGGTCATCAACTGGGCCGAGCTGTGCCGCAATCACTTCAAACGCCCCATTGGCCGCCTTCACTCTGACGGTGGGGGTGAGTTCATCAATAACACTCTCGCCACATACTGCAAAACCTACGGTATCCAACAGACCTCCACTCTTCCCCATTCCCCTCAGCAGAACGGCATTGCCGAGAGCCGCATTCGTGAGATCACCAAGATAGCTCGCTGTCTCATTGCTCATGCCTCCACCCCGCCTTCCCTCTGGAGCTATGCCCTTCTCCACGCCGCCCTTCTCCTTAATCTCCGCTCCCATCCTCAGCACCCTTCCTCCTCCCCCACAGAGCTTTGGTCCAACACCAAACCTGACGCTGCCGGCCTTCGAGTTTGGGGATGCAAGGCCTACGTTCTCATTCCACCCGCCGATCGCTCCCGCGCCGCTGGCAAACTTGCTCCCCGTGCCCTGGAATGTGTCTACCTTGGGCACAACCGCGACTCCCCAGGCTACCTCTTCCTCCACCCTCCTACCAATCGCCTCATCCGCAGCAGCGACGTCGTCTTCGACGAGTCCGTCCCCTATTACTCCACTCCTCCCCCTGATCCTCTCCCTCCTCCTACTCGCCCTCTCGCCTGGACCGACACCGTCCTCCCGCCTCTCCTCCCCCCCGCTCCCCTCCTCACACCTGTCGCCGCTCCACTCCCGCCTCCCTCCTCTGCCGACGTCTACGACCCCGCTGCACCCGCCTCCCCCGCCCACTCAGCTGCACCCCCTCCCTCCCCTCCCTCCTCCCATCACTCTCCCGCCCTTCCGCAGCAGCAGCAGCAGCCGGGGCAGCAGCAGCAGCAGCCGGGGCAGCAGCAGCAGCAGCAGCCGGGGCAGCAGCAGCAGCAGCCGGAGCAGCAGCAGCAGCAGCCGGGGCAGCAGCAGCAGCAGCCGGAGCAGCAGCAGCAGCAGCCGGGATGGCAGCAGCAGCAGCAGCCGGTGCAGCAGCAGCAGCAGCAGCAGCAGCAGCAACGGCAGCAGCAACAGCAGCAGCGGCCTCAGCAGGGGCAGCAACCCCATCGCCCGTAGCGACAGCGCGCCACCTCCCGCTCCTCCCCCTTTCTCCTTCCCCGCATGCACACCCGATCTCTGGATCCCATCCTTGGGACCCCTCCTCCTCCTTCCCTGCAACTCCTTGAGGACTCTCACGAGGAGTTCCTCACCATCCAGCAGCACACTCCGTTCATAGCCACCCTCTTTCTTGACTTCCTTGGCTTCCCCGTCCTCGGCGCCACCTCCACCCCCACCATCTTCACTCCCTCCACTTTCCAAGAGGCCATCACATGCCCTGACGCGGACAAGTGGATAGCAGCAATCTTCCAGGAGTGCGAGGCGTTTATCCGCAACGACTCCTTCGTCGACGTTCCCCTCCCTGACGGTGCCAATCTTGTCGAGGGCAAGTGGGTCTTTCGGGTGAAGCAACTGCCGGACGAGGAACCGGTCTACAAGGCCCGCTACTGCGCCAAAGGCTTTACACAGACACATGGGGAGGATTTTTGGTTCACTTACGCCCCCACCGCCAAACCCCCCACCCTTCGCGCAACCCTCGACGTTGGTGCGCGTGATAACATGGAGATCGACTGCATGGACGTCTCCAATGCGTTCCTGCAGGGCGACCTGCATGAGCGCATTTTCCTCCGCCGGCCACCTGGGTTCCACGCAGCCTTCCCTGAGAACACTGTCTGGCAGCTGCGTCGCCCTGTCTACGGCTTGAAGCAGGCGCCGCGCGAGTGGCATGCAAAGCTGGCTGCCACCTTAGGGTCACTCGGCTTCTCTCCCTCCCACTCCGACGCCAGCCTCTTCATCCGCTCCTCCCCTCGCCGCTTCTTCATCCTGGTGTACGTGGATGACATGATCCTGCTCTCTGACACGAAGGCCGACATGGAGCAGGTGAAGCAGTCCAAAGGTCTGGCCGACATGGTGCAGCAGCGTCTCAAGTGCAAAGATCTTGGAGCCCTCACCCACTACCTGGGCATGGCTATCACTCGTGACCGCTCTGCTCGCACCATCACCCTCTCCCAGTCCCATTACATCGGCCAGATCTTGGAGAAGTTCGACATGGCGCAGGCCAAGCCCGTCTCCACCCCCCTCCCCTTCGGCCACCAACTCGCCCCACCCACCTCTCCCACCTCCTCCCCTCACCCCTATGCCGAGCTCGTTGGGTCCCTGATGTACGCGATGATGTGCACCCGCCCCGACCTCGCCTATCCCATCAGCGTGCTCGCTCGCTTCGTCGGCACCGGCCGCCACAGTGAGGAGCACTGGAAGGCGGCCAAGCGGGTCCTCCGCTACCTTCGAGGGACCAAGGACCTTGCCCTCACCCTTGGCGGTTCTTCCCCTCCTCTCCTCTCGGGCTTCAGCGACTCCTCCTGGGCCGACACGCAGCCGGACCGCCGCTCCTCCCAGGGCTACGGCTTCACCCTTGGCAGCGGCCTCATCAGCTGGCGCTCCACCCGCTCCTCCGCCATCTCTCTCTCCACCTGCGAGGCCGAGCTCTACGCCGGCACCATGGCCGCTCAGGAGTCCCGCTGGCTCTGCTTCCTCCTTGCCGAGCTCGGCGCTCCCCAGACATGCCCCACTCTCTGGTGCGACAATGCCAGCACCATCCATCTCACTGAGGACCCTGTCTACCATGCCCGCTCCAAGCACATCGAGCTCCGCTATTTCTTCATTCGCGAGCTTGTCCAGAAGGGTCTCATTGCCGTTCGCAAAATTGCGACCGAGGCCAACCTGGCCGACATTTTTACCAAGGCCCTCCTTCGCCCTGCGCACTCCGCTTTCCTCCGCCTCATCGGCCTCGCTCGCCCGGGCGCTCCTTGATTCAGGGGTTGTTCTCTTCTTGTGTTAGCATGCTAAGGGGTTGTGTTAGAATTATATATATTGTAGCATGCTAAGCACATGTGACTGTACACCAATTGTGGTGTACAGTTGGGTTGGGACTACACCCAACATTGGGTGTAGCCTTGCACTTTGGGGTGCCAATCCACCCAATTGTGGTGGAGCCCCCAAATTGCAACCCTCTTGACTTTTTGGGTACCTCACTTCACAATTGAGGCCACCACAAGCCAAGTGGGCCTAGGGTTGCCACACTTCTTAGAAGTGTGGGCAACCCAACCCACCCCACCTATGGTTACCTCACTTCCCAAAGTGAGGCCAACCCAACCATAGGTTGGGTTCCTCCTTCCCTTCCAAGCTTCTCTTCCCAAACTATGTATGCTAGGTTTGCTCTCTAATCAAATCACTTGTTCAATTCACATCTTTCACAGGCAGGCAGGCAGGCAGGCAGACAGGCAGGCAGGCATTGACCTGTTAGACTCACACAGCCTGGGAGCGCCGGACTTGAGGGCAGCGAAGGGCACATCTCCAAGGCAAGCCCACGAGCAGTCCACCACGGCCAGCCCCTTGGCTGCCAGTAGGGGCGCGTCTGCCCTTGACACCGCCCTCTGCCCCGTGGGACTGGGGGGGGGTGAAGAGGGGGGCGCGCAGAGAAAGATGGGGGTTACGATGGGCCCATAAATACAAGCCCACGAGCAGTCCACCACGGCCAGCCCCTTGGCTGCTAGTAGGGGCGCGTCTACTCTTGACACCACCATCTGCCCCGTGGGACTGGGGGGGAGGGGGGAGCAGAGGGATGGCTCATAGAGGCGAGCCCACGTGCAGTCCACCACAGCCAGGGTTTTGGCTGCCAGCAGCGCGGCGTCTGCTCTTGACACTGCCCTCTGAGCCATTGGACTGGGGGGGAAGAGGGGCGAGTAGGGGAGATATGGGAGGGGACGAAGTGGGAAGGAGGGGGGTGGGGGGAGGGGAGGTGAGGAGGGCTGTCCAGGGGGGATCCGTCACAACCTGCTGCTGGCAGGCAGGGGTGCGGCAGCATGGCAGGGGTGCGGCAGCATGGCAGGGGTGCGGCAGCATGGCAGGGGTGCGGCAGCATGGCAGGGGTGCGGCAGCATGGCAGGGGTGCGGCAGCATGGCACGGGACACGGCTGTCTGGCATGCTGGAAAGGAAGATGAGGGGGTGGGAGACGGTGAGAGTGGCAAGCGGAGAGATGCAGGAGGAGAACATTGCGAGGCGTGTGGCACAGCTGAGAGCAGTCTAGTCCAGTCCAGTCCAGTCCAGTCCAGTCCAGTCCAGTCCTGTCCAGTCCAGCGAGGCCAGGTTGTCCTCCACCAGTGCAGCATCCCCTCCACCTGAGGCAGACCCACCTGAGGCACACGCCCCACCCACCTGAGGCAGATGCCTGCGAAGCGCTGCTGCACGCGCATCTCCCGAATGAGCCTCAGCCGCAGCAGCTTGCGACCCGTGCAGCGCTTGCTGTCGCACTGCCCAAAGTCCTGGGTGGGCGCGCAGTGCAGGGGGGGGGGAGGGGGGAGGGAGAGGGGGTGAGGGTGGGTGAGCGAGAGCGAGGATGAGTTAATTGAGGGGGCACGCACAAAGCATTAATACTGTGCCTGTAGTGATTAGTACAGGCGCGCCTCCCACCTTGCCATGCAATGTAGCGCTTCCTATCGCACTGCCAAAAAAGAGATACTTGGTCAAGTCAAGATAATGAAAAAAAGGCAGTCTTTGAGGGGAGTGGCAGTGGTCTTACAGGGGAGGTGGGCTTAACCCAGCAACCTGCTTACTGCCACGTGGCTGCTGTAGCAGCAGCAGCAACCAGATGCATCTCCGTACTGCACTGCACTACTCCATGCTACTTGGCTGCTGTGTAGCATAGTGCAAGGCAGTCACAGAGAGCATGCAAGCTTGGCCTTAGCCCTGTCTTGACCATCACAACTTGAGGCACACTCTGACCAGACGCGCAAACCTAGACCGCCCCAACTCAGACAGCTCACCCACATGGCCAGCTAGCTCACCCAAATGGCCAGCAAGCTCACCCACATGGCCAGCCAGCTCACCCACATGGCGAGGTCCATGGGCGGCTTGTAGGGCCTGGCATCCCCAGATGGCCGCGATGAGTGCTCTGTGGGCGCAGGCCGTGTGAAGGGTAGGACAGGAGGCGTAGCGTTGAATGGGAAGGAAGGAATGGCGTGGTGTGGTGTGGTATGGCAAGGGGTGGCAAGGACTGCCGTGGTATGGCATGGGATGGCAAGGTGATGCATGGTATGGCATGGGATGGCAAGGCGATGCATGGTATGGCATGGGGTGGCACGGCGATGCATGGAAAGGCATGGCACGTTCCTTGACAGTAGCAATAAAGAGGGAAGGATGGAGGCAGGGAGGCGGGGAGAGAGGCAGGGAGCGGAGGAAGTGCCTACCCATGGCATGCGCACAAATGCTTGCGAGGAATGCACTGGTGAGTGGGTGTGGGATTAGTGAGGTGAGAGGGGTGAGTGGTGTGAGTGGGTTGAGTGGGGTGCGCGGGTTGAGTGGGGTGAGTGGGGTGAGTGGGGTGAGTGGGATGAGTGGGGTGAGTGGGATGAGTGGCGTGAGTGGGTTGAGTGGGGTGCGCGGGTTGAGTGGGGTGAGTGGGGTGAGTGGGATGAGTGGGATGAGTGGGGTGAGTGGGATGAGTGGCGTGAGCGGGGTGAGTGGCGTGAGCGGGGTGAGTGGCGTGAGCGGGGTGAGTGGGGTGAGCGGGGTGAGGGGGTGAGTCCGATACGTGGATCGATTGTCGTTGGTTGGTGTGGGGCGCGTGGGGGTGAGGGGAGGGAACGGCATGGAAGGCGTCATGCACTCTGCGCTCACTGTTACACGTATTTGGCAGAAGAGGCGGTTGAGGAGGAGAGGAGTTGAAGGGAAACGGGAGAGGAGGGACGGAGGAGCGATGGAAAAAGAGCTAGAAAAAGGAAAAAAAACCCGGAGGTTTGGAATCACTCGCGCAAAAAACGGTGACTCACAGCATAAGCGAGTTTATGTCTCACCGTCCTCCTCTTCCCGCCCCCCGCCCCTCCTCGGGCTTCCTGCCTCCTCTGCTGCCCTGCCGCCCGCCCTGTGCTCGCTGCGGCGAAGAGGAAGAAAGGCGATGGGAGAAGGGGGTGGGTGATGAGGGGGAAGGGAGATCGGAGAGAGGGGGAAGAGAAGAGTCAAGACGACTGGCTGTGTGGAAGAGAGGAGGGGAAACGGGAGCGTTGCAGCGCGACAGAAACCACTGGTTTAGCGCGGCGCGTCGGAAACCACTGGTTTACTGGCAGTAAGTAGTAGCGCGGCGCGGTACCTGCGTGCGAACCCGAACCTGTCGGCGCACCCGGACCCGTTACTAGTACCAATGCTTGTCGGCTCCTCGTGAATAACTTAATGGTTAATAACCGTACACGTGACGCGTGAATCGACTCAACGGCTACCCGTGCGTGCCTCGTGTCCATCGAGCCGTTCCCCTCGTTACCTGGATATACACGACCGCCGCCCCCCACCGTCTCTTCTTCCCCGCCCCATCGCCGACGTGAGCTTCCGCGAAGAATTCGGGCAATAAACTTCTCGATCGCCGTGAACTGCTCTATCGCCTCGCCGTGAACTGCTCTATCCCCTCGCCGTGAACTACTGGATCGCCGTCCGAAAAGCTAGGGTCAGTCGGACAGCTGCTGTCGGGTTGCGTGGTGTTGAATCACGAGGGGGTGCGAATGCGGATGGCGGTGCTATTGAATTGAAATTTGGAAATACTGTAGTTCGAATGTAATGAATGTGAATTCATTACTGTAGAGGCTGCTCCTAGCGAGGACAGCCCGAACCGTTCGCGACATTTTGGGCTCGGCCTACACTTTCGTACCGAACCAGCGCCGAGTCGCCCCGCACCAATCGCGACATTTCCAAGCCACGCACATCACGAGGTTCTCGCCTAGCGCGGTTTAGACCCTATAATTGCTTGAATCTTTGTTGAAATTAGAAGGTCGCTATGAGTAGCGGAAATACTCTAGGAAGATAACGGCGTCCCTGCAGCGGGGCAACTGGTCACTCAGAGGTAGTACTTCTGGCCTGGCACATGATGCCATTGCGGCGGCTGAGGGAAAGTCGTCACTCGGCGGCCGATGGAAACCCCATAAATGCTTGTTTCTTTATCATTTTTGTCATTATGTAGTTTCATCCTTTTATAAAGTCTTCCGCGCACTCTTCTTAGTACAGCTTATAACACTTGGTATCAGAGCTTCTTTCATACGTTCCCCGCTTTTTAGAGTGTAATACCCCTCGTGTGGAGGGGGAGGGACAGGGGAGGATGCCGTGGCGTCCAGGAGTAGCACGCTAGCCGGCCAGGAGAACGGGTAGTTGCTCCTAGCGGCCATTATTTTACCAGGCGCTCCAGCGGTATCGCCGGATCCTCGCCCTCGACGGTAAAATGGACCGTGACCTCCCTCCCCCTGGGTGGTGGGCAGCTGTGGCTGTCGCACATTTATTAAGTGAGTTAACTGTTGCGATTTCCGTCAATCTCAGACTTGGGATATTGTGTAGTGGCTGACGACTGTAGGCTCGTCGTCGGCGCACGCCCGAGATCGTCGGAAGAAACCGTTGTGCGAGCTGGCGTCACTGCTTTGTCGTCAACTGCGCACAAGAAAATCTGGAGTCACTGCGTGCGGCTGTGGCGACAAGCGTGTTTATCATGCTGCGCACGAAATTCTCAGAGGTCTTCGGCACGTGGTGAACGTCGTCACGGTGTGCAAAGATTTCGGGTGGCCTCACGTGTGAAACGACACATGGCCGGGCAGGCCAGGCGCATGGTGATTTGCGTCGGAAAATAAAACGGCGAGGAGAGACAGCGTGCCGACTGCCCGAAGAAAGCTGGGGTCAACCGTCGTCCCGCCCGGGTGTGGCCGGTGTGGCTGCAGGAGGGTGCGTCGTTGGCGTTTTCGGCAGGCAGTGTGGGACGGAAGTCGTTTTTCAATCCACCGAAAAGTTCAGGAAAAGCCGCCTACGACTAGACTGTCTATCGCTAGGGTCACTGCTGTACCTGCTCCACGATCGGCGAAATTTTTGGAGCAACAACGGCAGCAGATACTGTACTTTAGGCGGCACTGTACCCCCTGATCAAGTGTAGTTGCACCGTAGACAGGGCAGTACACCAGCGGGACAACGTTTCGGCGCAGTGTTTAGACCCGCGATTTTCGTGGGTTCTACCGGCTACAATATACGGAGTTGCGTTGAGTGCGGGTCCAGCGAGAGAAACGGGTTCCGCGCTTCAAGAGGGGAGAAGACGACCTACCAAAAAATAACGTTTTGCTGATGCTGGGTTTCGCGGCTAGGTGGTGGTAGCCGGACAGGGCCCAACTACCAACCAAAGTCTTACGACTTCCACATACCTCATGTCAGAAGAACTGAACGAGGAATGACTGTACTAGCACAAAGTTGGATACAAGTAGGAAACCCTAATCTAGTGTACCCCCTAAGGTGTAACCCACTACAGCCTACAATCATATAAACATATAATGTTTGACACACCCCCATAGGCGCAGTGGGAGACAACCACAGGGTCACGAGACCAGTCAAAGCAAAGGAAGGCAAGCTCAGGGTGGATCTCAAGGATTCCACACAAATTCCGAGCACAAGCAAGCGGTCACAAGACCAGTCCACATGCAGGTTTATAATAGAGCAAGAGATACAGTGATCACAACCTAACAAGAGTGAACATGCAGGTATATATATATAGTGATCACAGTACAAGCATGGTCAAGAAGTAAGCAAATGAGGTCCAGTAGGCACAAGGCCTAGCAGAGTGCAGAAGCGCTGATGGTCACAAGGCTGAAGTGCCTTGGTGAACACATCAGCAGTGTTGGCCTCAGTGGCCACGTAACGAATACAAAGCTGACCGCGCTGCTGCAGCTCTCGAGCAAGGAAGTACCGCAAGGCGATGTGCTTCGTTCTGTGCTCCAGTCTGTGCTCCTCACACAAGGCAATGGCAGCCTTGTTGTCGACGTACAGCACTGGAGGAGAACGAGGCCGCTCTCCCAGGTCGGTCAGCAGATAGGTCAGCCAGCGTAGCTCCTGGGCAGCCATGGCTGTGGCGTAGATCTCAGCCTCACAACTGGAGCTGAGAACAGAAGAAGAGCGTGTAGAACGCCAAGAAACTGAGCCAGAGCCAAGGCTGAAGGTGTAACCCTGAGACGACCGCTGAGTAGCCTGGTCGTCTGCCCAAGAAGCGTCTGAGTGTCCTGTGAGTACAACTCGGTATCGCCCTCCAAGCACGAGCCCCATGCCCGACGTACTGCACAAGTAGCGCAACACCCTCTTAGCGGCATCCATGTGCTCCTTCTTGTGACGGCCAGGAGCGACATAGCGTGCAAGGATGCTAAGAGGGTATGCCAGGTCAGGTCGAGTGCAGGTCATCAGGTACATGAGGCAGCCCACAAGCTCTGGATACGGGCCACTCGGCTCTACGGACTCATCCGAAGGCAGAGCTGAGAGCGAG